TTTATATGTTTGATAGTTATAAGAGAAACCTTATTCTGAACACAATGGAGTATTTTCGTTTCCAGTATACAGAGAGAATGGTGGAAACAGTCACCTACAGAACAGGCTACGAAGATTATGCTGTTAATGTGTTCAAAAACATACTTCTGACATACGTAGAAAATCAAATATACTTACGGAAAAAATCTTGATTTTACTATAATATGCAATTATATAGCAGATCAAAAACTGTGATGATCATAATATTACTAGTGATGTTAATAATATTCTGCTTCATTTTCTGAAATTCAATTCTTTTAATTGTTATTCTTCAGAACAGTATTACAAGAAAAATATCTAATTATATTATATCAGAAATGTTCACCGAAAAAGAGCAGGAAGAAATCATTAATGAATTCGTCAAAGTTATTAAATTGAAAACATACATTAAAAAAAGTGAGTATGTGCCGCAAATGTAAGTTTATAGAAGAAAATCTTAATTTGTATAACTTGCCAATACCCGAAAGAGCTATTAAAGCTATATGCAAATGCAATTACACAGAATGCGGGGCATGTGCAACACTAAAAACATTAAAAGGTCACGTTTACGGTTGAAGCATGAAGAAGTTTGAGAACACCATTGATCCAATGGAAGATGAAAATATGTATAAAATACAAGAATATGCAGAATGTGCAAAACACAAAGCAACACACAACTTTATTGTTATGTGAATTTAAACCCATTCCCATTATACAAAAAAGTTGTACATCATATTCTGAATGGAGATAATGGAGATGCAAGCAATTACAACCAAAAAGCCCATAAGGAAATAACTAATTGTTATAATGCATTATAGAATGGTCGAGATGGTATAGAAGCATATTATACCAAACTGCGGAATACAGCAATAACAGAATACGACAAAACATTCAAGAAACGATCGGATACTAAACAGCGGTTCGTTGATTATATACATTCCTGCATTGAACCAATGTCCAATATTATAAAAAAGATTTGTGACTGTATTGAAAACAGACAAGAACACAACAGTATTGAACGGAACATGTATACGAACATAACAGCGTCAGTAGTAAAGCAAATAATGTCACGAGTTAAATACTACGACGCATACTGATGGGAAAAGCTGTTGGATGCGCAACGCACGTACATGCCGAAGAACAGTGGTTGAAGAAACGAAATGACTTGGTTAGATTACACAACAGCTATATAAATGCTCTGCTATGCAACCATGTTCACTCTGACCTCTTTCCACCGAAGAGAACACGGGCCCCTGCATCGAGGTTGGTTCTGAGAAACTTGTGTCAACAAAATAGACAGCGGGACCGCTTGCCCGGTCACAGAGTGTATGAGGACAAAGGCACATGGAAAGCACAACAAGGCGCCTGGTGGACACGCCTTTCGCAGTCCTCTGTTTGTCAGGATAATCATGGTCTGGAGACAAACTGAAACTTGAAACTCAACTAGCACAGAGCCGAAGCGAAAGTCAGAAAGAAGTGTCCGAATGCGCAGCGCGAGCGCGCGAGTGTTTCTGAAGCACCCCTCCAAGCCTCCCCCTCGGCGCGGCCCTGTTTCTGCACAATTATTGATGTTTCATACACTATCTGAGTTTGAATGCACTTTTTCGCAGTTCGGCTTGATGATCGTCTCCAGGGGTCTAGGCAACGAAAATTGAAGACCCAGGAACTACCCGGGGTGGTTGTCGGTGTACAAGTCGGTCGACGCCTTCTCAGAATCACCATCGGGCTCAAGGCTATCTGCATGGCTTCTCGAAGGCATCTGAAAGGAGTCACGAAACAAGCAACCTGCCAAGCTGCTAACCCATTGCATCTGCCGGGGCCTCTGTGGTCAGCATGGTCGCGGAAGCTGCCAAGACCAGAAGTGAGGTTCAAGAACATCTCCTTCCAGTGGCATAGGATCATGGGGCTGTGGTTAACTCTCTCTCTCTCTCTCTCTCTCTGTTGCATCCAGAGGGTCCAGCAGCGCTAGGCAACGCGTGAGGTTGGAGCCCTTGAGGCCACCCCACGAAAACGAAACAGCACCACTCAAGCAGCAGGCAATGCCTATGCCAGGCACACACCTCCGCTGTGGTTAACTGAATCAGTGAGTTGGCCTCGTTAGCCTCCAAATGAAACGGAATGGCCACGATGCTAGATACGCTTCAATGCTGGGATATTGCTCGGAAAATGCAACGCATGCTGGTCAAGAAGGCACAAATGCCTGACCGCGCCTGTCCACTTCATACGGTGCTAAAAGTTACAGTTATCGTCATCCCGGTTCTCTCATTCTCATTCTCATTCTCATCCCCTCACGGATACAAGGAAGTGGGTCGTAAGCAACTGTATGTTGGAGAGGGTCAACAAGCCCCTGGCCCATACTCTATCTACACGTATGGCTTCGGGAAACCACCTTCGTTAGTTTTGAAAACTGGCAAATGCCATTTACTCCGGGATGACGATAAAGGCACGCGACATTGCCTGGGCAGCACTTATCTGTCTGTAAAGCGACTGCCGGAACGCGGCAAGTTCAAGGTGCAAACTCAGGCCTCACTGGGTAGTCCCTCAATTTACACGGAGTTGGAAAGCATCATCTCTTCCCTCAAGCCTCACGCGTCTACCTTGGGCCGCATATCGGCTAGCCTCGAGTTGGAGTTGGTTAAAGACATCACGCCGCCATGTCTGGTTCGAGTTATGCCGGCGTTCTTCATAGATTTCGAGGATCACATGCTTCACGACGTTGCAGATACAGAACAGAACCGAGATGCTGCCAATGAGAACCATAGCTCTGGGAATCTGCGTCTGGGCAATCGTCTGCCAGCGAGAGGTTGTATATGACCGCGAAAGGTCTCGAACCACCCGACTCGCAGAAAAAGCAGTACAAGCCACTTTTATGCAATGGCCAATCGCTTGGAAGCCGCCTCCGAGAGAGGAGAGGCCATTCCCGACTCTGCTAATGGCCGGCTCCAAGATGCTCGCGCCATCGCTGCCCAAGCCTCTGGCCGCACTTGACAGGCCCTGTGACAGGCCCTGTGTCATTTGTGGGGCCACCTGCGCCAACTGCCCCATCGCAGTGCTTCCTGCGCTCTGTCCCATCGACTCGAAACACCCTTGCAAGGTGAATGCCGACATCATGAAGCCGAAGATGAGGAGGATCTTTGAACGGTTCATGGCGGGTTCAGCGCGTACGGAAACAATCACTAGGCAAAATGGCACTGAGGTTATGTCAGCTGCGGTAAGAAGCCAGCAATAGCGAGCAAAGGGCAACTCGAGACATGCGGTCACTGTCTGCCAGCAATACGTTTCAGCATCCACTACAACTTTACTCTCGAGACACCTAGCCCATGAGACCAAGGCTCCTCGTCCTCCTCGTTGTCCTGTTGTTGGTTTTGTAGACGTCGCTGCCATCCGAGAGAGGGCACGGGAACAGGAGAGGACCGATGCCGAGAATCCTTGCATCGGATAAGATAATTTACTATGCCTATACTGGTCTTGGTACTGGTATCGGTAATGGGGAAGTAGTGGTAATGTAGTTGGTGAGATGTAGGGGAAGTATAGGAATAATTCTCTTATATGCTTATTCCTACACTGGTATTGGTAATGGCGGAGTAGTGCTGATAAAGTTGGTGAGATGTAGGGGGAGTGTAGAAATAATCTTCTAATGGGCGGTTTAGTGGTAGGCTGGTGGTATTATTACCCAAAACGGGCAAGGGTTCTGCTAACTGTATTATGGCTGCGCTGTCACTTCCATCGCCGGATACCACCTGTGTGCGAAGCGATCGCCATGTGCATGCTGTTTTGCAGCGCCTGCAGTCTTGTCCACATATATCACTCTTTCGCAACCTAGCGGGCGAAGCAATGTGAGACTGCTGGCCCATCTTGGCCAATTGACCCTGCACTCTCCTTGGGAGCTGCTGAGTCTCGCATTAACATGAGAGCTGTCGTCTCTGCTCGGGCTACAAACATGATACAAAACCCTGTGCCTGACATGCCACCTCGAAGGTCAGCAGACCATGACAAGCTACTGAACCGACATGCATGGACCTGTGGTGAAACTCATGCAGCTCATGCTTTCCTGGGGCCGTGTCACCTGCTTGCTAGATGCACGGAGACCTACTGGCAACAATATCGTGTGAACACATCATTTTTCTCGAAGCGAACAGTCGCATCAACAACGCTGCAGCAGCGACAGATGCCTCCACAAAATTCTGCCAAACACATGCTTGCAGCGGGGCTGAAAGCGCCTATCACGAAAATCTAATACTGAAACCTCCTGTTCACCTGGGGTTCCCGGGCTTCTTGGACATCGGTGACATCGCAGCCGCTGCAGACAGGCTCGTGCCAGCGAGGCTGTTCCTGCAAAACTTCGCAGGCAGGCAAACGCTGAGCATTGACGTGTCGAAGCTGCAAATGCTGCTGCACTGCTGCATGCACAATGTTCAGAGTTGCTCACACTAGGCACCCACACGCACCCGCGCTGAAAGCTGGACGTGAAATTCTAGGAGCGGGGCCCGGTAGAGTCTATAGAGATCTAGCCAGAGAGCTAAAACGCTAGCTCGTGCAACATCAGTGCTTGTGGTTCGCAACTTCTCTTCCGCCTTCTTTCTTCCTGCATGCTCTTTCGTCGGAAGGCAGCCATAGTTGCCTGAAGCTGCATCTGTGCGTTTGCTCTTGGCATTGAGAATGCTCTGAAGCAACCGCTTCCAAAGACAACAGTGGCCCTGTCATTATGTGACTCTGGTTCGAAGGTTTGAGAAGGGCAGTCGGGTTGAACAGGCTCTAGGTTCTGCGGGGTGGCTCCACACTTCAGCATCCGACCTCCAGCATCTCCTGCTTCTGCTTCTCGCGCCTCTTGCCCAGCCTCATAACAGCTGTAGCAATCCGAGCAAGACTCCTTCAACCTCTGAGCAACAGGAGGCACGAGCAGTCTCCTCGCCCGCGCATTTTTTAGCGATGCCCAGCTCTTGGCAACCATTGAAGACAAGAGCTTGTGCTGCAGGCCACTCTCAAAGCTGCTGGTCGTCTTGGCTGGTGACCTCTCCGGCATATGAGACAAAGACCCTCAGGCCCTCAGGTGCAGACACACGACGAGAGAGCTGCAGAGAGGCAAAGATCCCAGCACGACCAGCTGGAAGGGGCAACAAGATTACGGGGCGCAGAGGATGAGGACATGCCCTAAGCCTTAGCTTCCAGAACCCCCGGCCTGGACCTTGACGACGGAGATGTAGAATCGATCCTGGGAGGCAAAGGCATTCATTTTCGGGTGTTGTTCATGGGTCTTATCTCTCCATACCAGGGGGCGGTGTGCTGGCCATGCTGAAAGAAACGGTCGAACTGGGAAGACACCTTTTTCAAATGGCTGTTAGTCAGGCTCACACTCAGAACAAGTCAGATTAAATACTTGCCACGTACTTTCCTGCTCCAGCCTTCGCGGCGTGGCCCTCGGCTTCGCCGGGACATCCACGGCCTCGGCGCTGGCACAAAGCCGAAAGAGCCTCAAAGGCCTTGCTCCGTGCAAGCCTAGTTGCAGATCAACAAACCACACATCTCCTCCTCAGAAGATGATCAGAGTTGTGCCCCAGATCGGTTGTCTGATAGGGTTCGGTGGGGATCTGGTTGGGAATCGCACGATGGTTTAGCCGACCTTTGAGTTGAGGGCTCGAGGTGGGGATATGATAGGCTTGACCCTGGTGTCGGTCCTAAGGCTCTCGTACACCTCACATAAAGCAACGCCCAACCTGTGTCCCAAAGCGTGAATGACACTCCCGTCGAATGCTGTAAGACACAGAGACAAACAAACAAACGCACAAGTTTCGGATCTTTTTGGCGAGCCGCAGCATCCTCCAAGTGCGAGGCGTCCACGTCACCCGAGGCCTCGAAAAGGCGACCGCCTGGGCCCCGACGAAGGAGGCCTCGGAAGCGTGCTTTGAACGCTGGCTCTCAGAGATGGGAAACGCTGGCAGAAGTGTTGGGAGTGCTGTGGGGATTCCGAGTTGGCTCTGCCCTGAAGCTTGCGGGCTGTTCGATGATGGGATGACTAGAGTGACTATAGAGGCCCAGGGCATCAGCAGCGGGCCTCAGGCGCAGCAACACAGCTACCCGGAAAGGGAGCAAGCCCGGTACATAAAGGAGTTTCGCTCGGGTCCACTTCCCTCACGACGAATTGTGAGATCTGCTGTGGGCTCACTGATCACCAACAAACCCGGTGACATCTTAGCTATTGCTCCTGCATGTGTCCTGGATAAAATCATGATTAAGAGTTTTAGCCATGTTGGCACAGCAGGCCTGGCCGTTTCCAGCTCCAGTCATGTCATACCGAGTCATAGCCAACAAAGTGGAAGCTGTCGATTCCCTAAGTGGGACCTTTCAGCCTTATGATTATGTTGGCGTAGTTTGGCGTATTGAAATTAGCCTGTGTCATAGAATGGTGCTGTTGCCGAGCAGTTTGAGGTTTGTGTCTTCACCATGTCGACCCTCCTTGAAGCAGCACGTAAATCTCCGACGACCAGCTAACATGCTATATTTGTGGGCAATCAGGACCTGTAGGTTAAGCACATCCGAACCTATACTGCAAACGGGCGGCCGAGAGTTCGTGCCAGGGAGCGCATGTACTCCTGGTTGTCCGAAAAAATGGTCAAGACCTGCGGGACTGAAGCCCTTGTTTTGTTTTATGCCCGGGCTTTGAAGGCAGCACGACTCAAATATGAAACAGCCAGGCACGCCCATCTCTTTGTCTGTCTCCGGGTCATAACTGGCTTATAGCTTGCAAACTGCAATACTGACCGAGACAGGACCACAGCTACAATCTTTGCAAGTTCCTCCATGGAATGTTGCTTGCCGTCGCAGTTCCGAGGAAGGCATGGACGCGCACGGTAAGCTGCTGACGCCACTGTCGCTTAGAGCTTTGTGGACGTCTTCGAAAAAGTCGGATGTCAGCCTTGGGTCTTGGGTCAGGCTGGCAATGGCGGAGAAACAGCACTGGCAGTGGCAGCGCGATGTCCACTGTGGCTTCGTCTCGGAGCGAGACAGGTGCAGCTCGGATTCCGCCTCGTCACAGTTCGCCTGAGCTGTGAGGATTTCCGCTGTGGTCCTTCTCATCGCCACTTCTGATCTGCAGGCAAAAGGCGTTTCCTTAGCCGGAAGAAGCAGCAGCCAAGTACAAACACGAAGCCGCTGCCAAAGCTCGAACATCAACCGTCATCCAACCAGATCTGGAGCTTCAATCCCGTCTCGTCTTGTCCCACATCTAAGAGTATCCGGCAACCAAAACTTCTACGCAGTTTTTGCCGGGAAGGGGAGGAGGATCGAAACCGAAGCCCAGTGCCACGTCAGCCCCCAGTAAGTTATTTGAGTGTTTGCAACCCTAGAATGTTCGGCCGCGTCGCGAGTGGTCTGCGGAGGCTCGGGGAAGTTTACCTAAGATAGTAATAGTGTTTCCACCGCATGCATGCTGCAAGCTCGCGACTTCTTGGCCCAGCTACGCAGACCTTTGCCACACTCCCGGGGAGCACCCACTCTTTCAGCACGGTGCCAGCATCGCCTTGGCGAGTGAAGCCCGTCCACTTGGCTGTGTTCTGCTGCATAGTTGTGCGCTTTGGATAGAATAAGCATTACGTAAGCACAAGCTGGGATAGAATCCTATGGAATGCACCAGTACTGAAGCTGCTGTACCTACCACTTTACGCCGAGCAGCCGGCGATCACCGCCAAATTGTCTGCACCGGCAAAGATGGCCTAATGGAGGCCGAACGGTAACTTCCAAATGCATGTCGGAGAGTGTGCCTGGAATGGAAATTCGCTTCCGATTCGACCCGTGTCTTCGGCTTCTACTACCTGATTACACTCCGGGCTGCACTGCATTGCCGGAGCCTTCGTCATGATGCTCCAGGCCCGGTCATATCGCAGCTCGCCTCCACGGTGAATATGCCAGAAAAGAAGCAGGCATACAGATCCGCCACGTACTGGTGCCAGACAAACCCCTTGAGGACTAAGCCCAGGCAGGAACCATGCGCGTCTCTCCCTCTCCCACTCTCTCTTGCTGTTTCCGCTGGCACAATTCGAACGGCGGTCGGCATCAGGCTTGGTTTCAGCCGTGGGGCTTCACCTCTTGCTTGCTAGAAAGCATTAACAATCCAATTCAGATAAGGCGCTCGCGACCCAATTGGCACGGCCGGCATCTGCCTGAGCCTGTGCCACCACCCAGTCTCCGGTGCCAGAGCAGACCTGCACCCGAGATTTCAAAAACAACGGATGCATATGATCTCGAAACACCCTTCACAAGGACTGCCAATCCGGGTCTTTGAGGTGCCTTTGATCGATTCCAGTTCCGATGCAAATACACCCAGAATCCGAAGCTGACTCAACAGGTTGACACACCCATCTGATGTCTGATCTTGCGAATGCCCAACCCGAATCTGCACTGACGTCCGATCTTAACACGTTCTACCAGTTCAGCATCATGTTTCACTTGCAGCCCCTGCACATCCCTGCACGGCCCTAAGCCTGCCAATGTCAAGCTACCTTCTAAGAGGGCCTCCAACAGCGTCGGCCTTTTTGCGCCGCCGAAGAGGCGGTTCCAGCGGAGCCGTCCACCACGAAGACAGCGGGCTAGCTGGGCTTGAAAGTCCTGCGCTTTCCGTGGGCTTGGGGGCGCTGATTCACACGTCTTCGAGATTGCAATCTGCACTCGCCGGCAGACCTGCGATCTGCAGTTGCGCAACCTTGTTATTGAGCAGCTTGAAACAAGAATCACGGAAAAGGTCCTCCTCGGTGCAGAGCCCGCGCTCGAAGCACTGTGGCAAACCAAATCCTCGTCGAAGTGCCTGGAGAAGGGGTGGTGGGATCCGGATGATCCGGGATGCCTGTGGCCATATGGACCTTCTGACCGGGTAGATTGCGCATCGGGCAAGGTCTTTGCAAGCATTGCCCGTGCCCGCCCTTCCAGCAATTGTTGACAAGCTGACAACTTCAAACCCGAATGGATGCCGATTGCTCGCCTCGAAGGGCGCAACAGCATCTGAAGCGGAATTTCGCCCCTTTCGCTGTGAAGGGGCCGCCAGGAGGCGGCGAAAAAATGCAACGAGGTCGAAGGGCGCGGCCTTCTGGGGCTAGGTGTTTGCTTTGCATTCCTTGGAAGTTTCTTGGGCTTGGCACCAAAGGGACTGTGTTTGTTGGCGAAATTAAGCCTGTGTCATGTTGGATCCTAGTGTGTTGACGGCTCTATGGGACGACTCGTTGATCATCGTCAGACTTCATTCCAGCGGCTGAGGTTTACGGAAATTCCACATACAGTCTCACAGCTTTAGAATCTCACACTCAGACTAGACAGATGAAATTCCTGGCTAGCAACAGTCGGGTTGAGCGCGCAATATGGTATACTGATACGAGAATAAATATGCATATATATATATATATATATGTACAATATATATATATATATATATATATATATATATATAAATAAATATATGACTTTTTGGCTCTTTGTTGAACACGTTCAAGTGCTGCGACGATTGTGCAAACTCGCACGCGAAGCTTTGCATGCAGGCAGCTGGCCTTAGTTGGGATCCACGTTCCTAGTCAGAATAACTCGATATCCATCCCTCTTCGGCCTTCTGTGGTGGCTTAGACCCACGATGGCGACGGATCAGCTCCTTCGACTTTCCGCTCACCCGCAAGCTTGCTGTGCAAAGGTGCTTTCTGGCCGACCACTGTTTTTGGCGACAGTGAAGAGTGCCCGATGCGGTGGTCTTTGTCAGGCTTCGACGTTTTATCGCTAGTATGCGCTAGTCCGGTCCGAATGGCTCGCGAACTCCCATAGCGAATGCAGTCCTGCAGGGGCTGAGCAGTGTACACCACGCGACCAGTGATCATACGGCGTCCCCTTCACACGGCCTGCCACCCTTCACGCTCGCCTCGACCAATTAAAAAACAAAATCCTTGTCGGTTCTTTTCGTCAGCAGTCCATCGACCCGATTCCTGCGTGGTGTGGCAATTGGTTTCCATATGATGTCGTCAATTGGGCTCGTCCAGCCATCTGCGGCTTCAGCTAGAGCCAACCCACCGAACCGACACGAGCTTAAGCTATTCCCCGAAACCTACAAGCCCTCAACACCAAACCCTGACGCGCTGTACACATGTACACATGGCCCCTCGCCTTCCTAGCCGCGATAGAGAGAACGGTCCCTCTTTTCTTCCTCCATCTGCTTTGCTGTCTGTGTGTTTTTGTCGGTCTGTGTAATGTTCCCCTTTAAACAAACATATGTATATATGTATGTGTATAAAAATATACACAAATATGAGCGTTGATCAATGGCTTTTTTTCTGGAAATGGTTTCTTCGCGGATTATTGCTTTCCTTTCGCGGGACTTTCGCCCGTACTTTCGCGCGACATGTTTGAGGTAGTAGTTTTTTGTCACCCACCTTGAGGTAATAGTAGGAGTAGTAGTTGTAGTAGCAGCAGTAGTAGAAGTAGTAATAGTAGCAGTAGTCGTCGTAGTAGTAGTAGTAGTAGCAGTAGTAGCAGTAGCAGTAGTAGAAGAAGTAGTAGTCGTAGTAGCCGTGGCAGTGGCAGTATCAGAAGTAGTAGTAGCAGCAGTAGTAGAAGTAAATTTTAAAGGTAGCAGGAGTAGCTGTAGCAGTAGCTAGGCTGCAGAAGCCGACTCCAAGTCGTGGGCCATGGCCTTCAAACGACGGGGCTTCTTTCGCGGCGTCTTTCGCGCAACTTTACTATTCGGATCTTTCGCGCTAAATCCTGGCTAAACCTACTATGATTTCACAAAAGTAATATACCTTCTGACGTTGATGCTGCGTGTATGTCGGAAAGACCAGTCCTTGAAGCGCAAAGGCCCTGAATGAAAAGCACGACAATGCCGAACTCCCGCACCCCCTCCCACACTTTGTGGACTGGCAGCCGGGCGATTTAGCTTTGGGTATATTGTAGCATGGCGGGACAGCGAGTTTGAGATCTGTATGCCTACGGACTGGTGCAGCATATACCATACAAGTCCCATACGACCAAATCCATTACGCAACAACTTTCGCGGATGTTTGCTTTCCTTTCGCGGACCCATCGCGGACATGCAAGCTTAAATGTTAAACACCGTTTTATATAAATCCCAACACAAGGACCTTTAGATCAATGCTCATATACATATATATATACATACATATGCCATCTCTCTCTCTCTCTCCCTTGCCTTGATGGCCTTCTTCAGGGAAGCCACCTGGCGGAACGCGAAAGACCGTAGAGGACCACAGAGACATATCTGCTTCCTTTAAAACCCGCCCAATACACGAAGCACCTCTCGCTGCAGCTCCCGCCGGCGCAAGCGGTCGAACTCGGCTTGTGCTGTGAGCCTCGGAATTCGGCGTTCTTCTCTTGTTTTCTCCGAGCTCTATAGATTCTAGATGCGGTTCTTAGGCATTTCAGTATACATGCACGCATTTGGCTTGCCCATCAGGATCAAGGAGTGCATCAGCGATACATGAAACAGACAAAGCTCCTAAAATGATGCTTTACAGGCAATTATACTGCTAACTGAGTCTTCGCTGCTCAAGGCCCTCTCTGCAAAGGGGCCCGTGGTGCCTTGAGACTCCAGTGCAGCCTGGGCCGAAAACTCAATCCTCATTCTTGGAAGTTACCGGGCGGCTCTGTGGCAAGGGCATTTCCAGCTCGCTCGAGGGCTTTCTCAGCCGCCTGCCAGCTTCAAGTCTTGCACTTTCGCCATCTTTTCGAAGATGATTTGCGTGCTACAGTGCACGAAAGATCGACAGGTTCGTCTGAGAGAGAGAGAGAGAGAGAGAGAGAGAGAGGCGGGCGAGCGAGCGAGACAAAGAGAGAGACATCTTCAACGGCAAGGCTGTCATCCGCAGTCGATGCCCCGTGTCCATGCGATGCGATGCGATGCGACCGCAAGCCACGCAACCAACGACAATTGACATCCTTCTGCCCAGCCTTTCGCGCACCGAGAAGACAAGCTACATGAGCAATGGCGCAGTTAAGCCTGGGATATCGCAATGTGTCACATTTTGTTGAAACCGGACTTGATGACTGCCAGCACTGCCTCTTCCGCTGCTCTGCAGCCGAGGCCCGAAAACCGCAACACCGCAACGCTCCTCTCCGAAGGGTAAGCACTCCAAGTAACAACCACCGAATGTCGATGCCACACCTCCCTGACCACACGTGGTATTTCCAAGAGCACACAATCCTGAACATCCGGATGCACCAGAACATCAATGTTAAAGACCTGCTTCGCCGTGAGACAGTAGCTGCAAGCCGGCCTGAACTATATCATCGACTTCAAAGCATCCCACACCATTCTCCTTATCCAGTAGGACTGCATGGGGTTGGCCCTGAAAAGGCACAAGAAGGACCGGCGGATACCACCCTGTTGATTCCGCAACCTGTAGAGGATGCCGCCAGCTTTCCCAGGCAATGTTTCACATGAAAACCACATGTTTCGCTCACAAATTGTGGTAACACCTCAAACTTGCTAACTTGCGATGCTGAGGTCGGCTGCCGGGAACCCAAAGCTCTAAACATATATGCCAAGCAAGCTTCCCAGCCGCATTGTCGAGCCTTTTGCAAACTCTGCAAGCTGTGCACGGGAAAGTTCAGGAATGCGGACGTTCGGGCTGAAGCATCATTCGCTCAAAGAGGGTATGAGTCAATGAGTTGCAGGCGACCCGGGTCTCAAAGCACTCTCAAGTCAGAGGCCCTGTGCCGGCCGAAGGCTTCGCTGAATTGCAATGCTCCAGGCAGGCCACTGCTCCAGTGAGGATTCCTTGCTCTCGGTCTCCTTCCTCAGAAGCGCTTTGTCAATGAATTGGGGAGGGACTTGCACTTCGAAAATCCCACACAAATGAGTTAAGACCAACTCTCCTGGGTCTGGTCTCTGCTGAGCCCTCCCACCAGCCAAAGGGCCACAGTCGCTGAAGGGGCTTGAGCCGGAGACCTTGTGCCAGGATCTGGCCCCAGATCCTTGGCAACTTCCGTTCGAAGCCACAACATCTTCCGGGTCGATACACCAGAAGGCCACAAGGCAAAGCTTATTGACAAATGAGTGTCGCTTACTGTACACTAGAGTCGAGCTCAAATGTCTTAAGCGTGCCCGTGTTGGTGCTGGAAGCTATGGAAAACTGCACCCTCCGAGGTCAAAAGTCTGCGCTGAACGCTGCTTTGTGATGCTTTGTGTGCCTCGGACAGGTTGTAGAAACCTCGCCACAGCCTCCTAAGGAATCTTGTGCGGCATCGGTTTTCTGTCGTGTTCTTTCTCTGTAACGCCGCTCCCGGTGTCTTGGCTGAGCACTTGCTTGCTCACGGCCTCCATCACTGGCACTGTTCAGCGAAATTCTTGGTTCGTGCCGGTTGCAAGAGGATGAAAGCAGCTCCCTTCCAACCCAGCGCTTTGCGTGCCTAGTACACAGGGCAGGGAATAGATGTTGGTTTTCGAATGCCTCAATGTGAATTTCAGAACCTCGGCCGTCCAGCGTCTTCACCGTTGCAGCATCTGGCTGGATGGACCACTGCGGGAGCTGGGCGTAGAACTCCTAAGCCACACTGATTTAAGAGTTCACGCCCATTGCGGTCACTGCAAGTCTGCGAAATCCAACAAGTGACGAGATCAGGCCTCGGCCTCTCTGTTTGTCGTTTACGGAAGACCGAGCTGCTATCAATCAGATCTCAAACAAGCTGCTGGGACTCTGGATGCTCACTTGCAAACACAGTCGCCAGAGGATATCATGAAACCTAATTCAGGATTCCAACTTCAAATCCAAGGGCTTCTGCATCCGGCAGCGCTCCGAGCTTGAGGCAGCCTCGCAAAAACCTCACTCTGCACGAAGCTTCCATGCAAGCTCCAGGAACGAATCCTGAAGCCTTCAAAGCTGCAAAACTACATGAGAGAATCACAATTGGCCGCTACATCTCAGCAGACTTGGAGTACTGGCTGCATTCAACTTCGTTGTTCGAAACTAGTCCAGGCTGACATTCTGGACCTGTGCCACACTACGACTCGTGAACCGTCTGCAGTTACAAGAAGCGTGTTGGCCGTACGTATGTCCGGGTAGATAGGCGGTGAAGCCTGCCGAGCAAAAGAAGGAGCACACGATTCAATATTGCTTGCCATGTGAAGCATCGTGAGTCAACGTGTCTATCTCAGTCTCAAGTTCGCGTGCGGACTGCAGTAGCAGTAGTAGGTCTTGCTGTCTGCCGGGCTGTCGTAGCGATTGCAGCAGGTTCCCATAAATGCGAAAATGCTGTGGCTCTGCCTCATGCCGCAAAAGACATCAAAGGACTTCACGGAATCTGCCTGGCTCATGGTCTCCAACACTGCCTTGCTAGCAGCCACATCGCCGGCGTTCAGATGCCCCTTCAGCAGAGTAGTGTACCTTGATGAGTTGGAAACGAACGCTACGTTGTAGAAATCGCTCGCTTTACATGGCTTGGCCTTTACATGCCTTGGTCGAAACTACGCCAGAAAATGCTGGATCTGGCACGTGAGGATGCTCGCACTACAAAGAAATGAAGAAAGAAGCAAACAACCAAGCAAACAACAATCGGCTAGCAAGAGAGCAAGCAAACACACGCAGATCCGGCACGGCAACACACACACACACAGACACAAACACACACGCGCACACAGACAGACAGAGACACATATGTATGCATATTTATATATATATATATATAACAGTTACTACGATCGCAGACGTTCGATGCCCTCACTGAACAGACTATCGGCGATCGCACCTTTTTCATGCGACCGCAACGTGGGAGTCGGCCACAGTCGGATCATCAAAATTTCACTTGATCTTCACAAGTCCGATCGGACCCCCGATCGCCGAGGGGTGCGCCATGGCATTCGCCACAGACCGCAACATCATCCGATCGGACACATCAGACAAGCGATATTCCCCGCGAACAAAATTAAAAGTCTTCGATCGGATCATCGGGCTCCGGCGACGGCTCCTCGATCGGATCGTCGTCGAGGGGGGCCGCGCCGAGCAAGTCGATCAACTGCCGCTCGACAACACGAAAAGCTGCATCAGGAGTAGCTTTGGCTTTCGTCCGAGCGGGAGTAGCGCGAGAAGCCTGGTACGCCGCGATCTGGGCGGGAGTCGGCGGCGCTTTGGTCGGCGGACTCGAGCTCCTCGTAGGCACCATGATCTCGGTGCCGGGAGGGAGCTGCGTACCGGGCGGGAGCTGATCCAGCCGCCGCGGGGGCTGCCCCGGAATGACATAGTGGGCCGGTCCGCTGATGTGAACGTCAGCGGGCACGGCGTCGAGCGATCTGGGGGGCTGCCCTGGAACTATGTACTGAGCAGGCTCGGCGAACAAAGGAGAACGCCCTTTCGGAGCCGCTCGGCCGGCTGATCCATGCCTCTGTTGCGATGAGCTTTGGCCGGGGGCGCTTTGGGCACCGGCCGCTGAACAGAGGGCACGCCCATCACTTGATCCCAGTTGAGGGGAGGATCTGCCCCGTGATCGTAGCCGGCCGGCTGGTGACGATCGCGATCACGATGAGCCGGCGGCGTGACCCAGGGGGTCTTTCGGCAGAAATGACACATATCCAGGCGACGATCGCAAGCCGTGCACAAAGGAGTGCGCTGGTTGGGGGCCCACTCTTCGCGGGGGACCCGAACGGCTGCGTAACATTCGTCTTGGCCGTCCCCGTCGCAGAAGCAGCCGGTGAACAGGCCGCAATCCACGCAGGGACGGCAGAGCTGATCTGTGTCGCCGAAAGCGAGCGCTTGAAGGCCAACGTCGTTGCGAGGATCCCGCATACCGAAAAGAACAGATAGGGTGGAGAGGGTGGGATTTTTCGGTATGGCCCGATCGGCTATCGCCAAAATGGCCACGGAGAAAATAGATCAAGTCTGTTCCAACGATCGCGAAACTGATCTCCTAATTCCTACCCACCAGACCGATAATTAGGAGACCAGTTACTACGATCGCAGACGTTCGATGCCCTCACTGAACAGACTATCGGCGATCGCACCTTTTTCATGCGACCGCAACGTTGGAGTCGGCCACAGTCGGATCATCAAAATTTCACTTGATCTTCACAAGTCCGATCGGACCCCCGATCGCCGAGGGGTGCGCCATGGCATTCGCCACAGACCGCAACATCATCCGATCGGACACATCAGACAAGCGATATTCCCAGGCCCTCAAACTCCTTTCGGAAAGTCCGAGAGGACAGTGATCCAACCACACATCAGACCTGTAGCGACATCACCACGAGAGGGATTATCCGCCGGGTTCGAATCGGTCGGTACCCGATCGATATAAACAGAGCACCTAAGCTCCAGAACAAGCTCCCAGAAAATTCCTACGAGCTCGCAGACGTCCTCTTTTGCAGAGTAGCCTTTGATCAAAGCTGCCTCTACAGGCTCGGAATCGATAAAGAGGAGGACCAGCTTTCCACGGATCTCTTCCCTGAAAGTCTGTATCGCAGCGACCGCGGCCAAAAGTTCGATCATGCAAATTTGGGTTTTCCGGGGGAACCACCTCGACATGATCTGCCGTGACACCCCCGAGGCGAATTGCCTAGGCTGATCATCCCTAGTGAACATCACTCCTCCAATCATCTCAGAAGAGGGATCCTTGGGGTTCGAGCTCGGCGCCGATCCATCCGTGAAGATCACCACGTCGGACTTCCGCGGCCCCGAACTGGGGATAGGCCTCGGAGGCCCATGCATCACGAGCGTCCGCCACTTGTAGAGGGAGTAGAGGAGAGCAGGCGATAGGCTCGTACTGACCGTCTTCCGGGAGTATTGCCTCTCCGACAGAGATCTCAGGAAGGCTCGGCCGATCTTCCCCCAGAGCTGCGAAGCGCCGAACATCAGCTTTCCTCTGAGCTTCCCGGCTTGGCCGGGAGACATCTCTTCGTGTTCCAGGATCGACGAGATCTCGTCGAAGAGCTCCTGCTCCCTGGACTTCTTGATCTTGAGCAAGTACTGATCGAGGTCATAGGTCACGCCCAGGATCGTGGGATCCGAGGAGAGCTGGAGCTTCTGCTGATCGAACCGGGCCCCGAGCCACCAATGGACTTTCTCGGCCAGCGCGAACGCACTATCTGCCGTGGCCTCCGGCTCGAAGCCGTACTTGTCGTCATAGAAGTTGAAGCCGGCCACGATGAACACGCGCCTTAGAATGTCGGTAATCGCAGCCGAGCGGCGGTTGTAGTTATAGACGGCCGAGACCAAGCCGAAGGAGTGGCCGACCATCACGAAGAACGCCACCTTTCCCGTGGCCGGATCCTTCAGAGCGACCACACTCCACTTGCGATGGGCCGGAGAGATCGGCACCTGCCGATAGGCTCGCCGCTCGTCCAGGACCCAACCACGTAGCGGGGACTTCGGCAGCCGCGAGCGCAGCCACTTGATCACCGCCACGTTCGCGTCCGTCGAGGGGAGTTCGAGTTTCTCGGTGACGATCGTCGCCATGTTGATCCCATTTGAGGTAGCACTGTCAACTCCCCTGACTTTGTTCTTTTGAACCACTTCAAAGCGCTGAGTAGGGATCCAACGATCATCGCCGACGAACTCCGAGACTTCGGCCTCGTCGAAGAAGGGACCGATCGCCGACCCTTCTCGAACATCTTCCATGGTCCCTTCCCAGACCTTGGGAGAGTGCTCGGTGATCGGAGATTTCCGAATCGCGCCTAACACCTTCGATCGAAATTCCCAGGCCCTCGAGCGAAGGGCATCAACCGAGAGATGCTCCGCATGAGGTTTGCGATCGGGCTTCCATCGGTGGGAGGAGGCAATATCGCCGACGATCGGCATGCCCGCCATGATCTGATCTACCAGGTCAGTGTCACTGCATTTGGCCTCATTCATGAGCTCCCGCCAAAGGGCGACGTGGAAAAACTGACCCATTTCCAGTGGACGACCGTCTGGGCCGCCGCGAAGAAGACGGCGCAGATGCCGATCTGGTATCTGCTTGAGCAAGGAGTCAGAGGACGGGAGCAAATCTTGAGCTCGCTGTTCCCAATGCTGCAGAAGAGAGGCTCGACGATCGCGCACTTGAGCAGGATCACGAACAATTTGCTCCAGAACATCAAGGAGGTCTGGGTCGATATCCGCGTCCTTTGTGAACGGGTGCGTAGCTTCCAAGGCGAAAGCGATCGCTTCACCCGGGTGCATCTCCGTGCCGATCAGCGGAGCCACGACAGACTTCTTCATCTGGTAACCCGCGGCGACGGCCTTCTTGCCGGCCGATCGTTGGCGATGTTCCGCGGCTTTGACCGGGGCGCCATGGGGCCGCTTCCGATCGGAGTCCGGGGTCTCGAGCGCAAAAGTGAGAGTTTGCCAGGACCGATCCACGTGATCACCTGTGTTCACCGGCGCCGGCTGGAAGCCCAACTGAAGGAGTTGTTCGAACTCGTCGGCAGGGATCCGATCGACCCCCTGCACCGAGTACACGGCGAGGACCACCCGAGTTCCGATCCAGGGCAGGGTCGCGTGCAGAGCTTCCTTAGCGTTGAAGAGGATCTTATTGTCGACGAAGTCGGTGAGGAAACCGGGGATGGAGCGTCCCTCGATTTCTCTTACATCGGGCCCGAGCGGGTCTTCGATCCAGAGCCCGCCTCCTTCAAACGACCCGAGCTTGAAGACAATGTTCGGGATCGGCTCATTGCCCGAGTCACGGTGAGGTTCGGCCTCCTGATCGTAGAGGACGGCGAACGACGTGAAGAGCGCCTCAGGAGCCTGTTGAGCGATGTACGTGGTAATCGCCTTGATCGACCACGGCCAAGAGTGACAGGACGATCGCAGTCTTGTAATGCCTCCGTGGCGATAGGCTCCCGCGAAGAAAGCCCCGCCTCGTTCGTCGGCAGCCTTATGCTGACCCTGAACAGGGAGCTCTGTAGCCAAGTCGAGGATCTCCTCACGCAGAAGCGGAGCTCGCTTTTTCAGGAGATCTTGTGCGCGGGATTCCAGATCACAGCCCCCACGCGCGCCGGACAAGGTAAGGTGAGGAGCACTATCAGATTCGCTGGGAACCGATCAGTGGTTGCTGATCATGGCATGCGGCTCCCCACAGACCATGCACAGGTGCTTGAAACGACAGTTGTCGCCGGACACGCAACCGAGCGAGGAGTTGAAGTAGTGGCACCGGCGAGCGCCCTGCACCTTCTTGGCCGCATCGGCGATGAGCTTCCACTCCTTCTCTGGGATCCGATTGTCCCGCTTGAGCTTCTTGTTGGGATCTTCCTTAACGACCTTCTTCGGCGGATCGTCCTTCGAAGGAGTCTGCAGTCGCTTCTTCTTCTTCCCTCCGCCCCGAGGCCTTTTGAACGGGGTGTGGGGAGGAGGAGGAACTTCATCCTCCTTGACCTGATCAGGGTTATTCGCGAGCTGCTGGCGATTCTGTTCCATCTTCGAGAGAGTCGCTGAAGTGCGAGCATCGTTCCACAAATATTTGTGGTTGGTGAGCACCTCGACCAGGGCCTGCGAGAACGAGATGTACGTCGCTCTCTGTTCAGACAGCAGGCGAAAGATCTTCTTCCGGATAGCTCGGTCCGCCGCCATGAGGAATGGCAAGCCGGGACATTCCGAGCGGAACTGCTCCAACTCCTGCAAGTACTTCAGCGGGCCCTCGGTGCGTGAGAACGCGCAAATGTTGAGGTATTCGAGCGCCATGAAGAAAGCATGCAGACGGTTGAACAGAGTCGTGACATCGGTGACCGGCTCGGGTTGATCAGCCTTAGAGATGGACAGGAGATCTTCGGCGTTCCGAGAAAGTCCAGACTTGACCACTATCACATCCGATCGGGTCCTGATCTCGGCCGGCTCGTAGAATGGAACTATCCCATGGATCAGGAAATCGCGGGACAGCCGTTCGACGAACTTCTTATGCGGCTCTTTGGCGTCGATCAGGATGACGTCGGGGTGAACCCTCACGAAGCGATCGCGAAACTCCGCGTGGTCCTCCTGGGAGAGCTCCGGGATCTTGTTCGGGTCTTCCTCCATACGAGCTCGCCGAGAGGCGTATTGCGTTTGCAGCGCTTGAGCAGCTTGCCACACCGCCGCCAAGGACATCACGGAGAGCTCCTGTGCTGCCGCATCAGCCCCGAGCGGGGTCAAGTCATCTTGCCACAGCCGACGGATTGTCGCCTTCGCCGAGGTGAGATCCTGCCCCAGCATTGCGAACATCTCGACTGTGAGGAGACCTTTGTCGGCCGAGAGCCTGCAGAGGGCTGGATCTAGCCTCTGTCTCCCGAAGATCTGGCGCAGGTTCAGCTTCGGGGTCGCCGCCTCATTCGCGTATGCGGTGCGATCGACCATGGCTGCCTAACGAGCTGTCTGAAAAGAAAAGCTACGGTCAGGGAGAGGCTCAGCTCGAGTGGCCATCGTGACTGCGAACAGCTGTGTTCACGGCTCCGTAAAGATCTTACCGGAACACAACGAGCACATCTGAGTACTCGGCGGAATCTCGCCGA